CCAGTGCCGGCCGCCGCCGTGGTCATGGCCGCCTCTTCCTCCCAGCGGTGCTTCTTTGACGACCCCATGGCGGCACGTCAGCTCCCAGCCGGCCAACACGGAGCCCCAATAGGCAAAATGGGAAAACTTCCGGGTAGCCCTGCAGCCGCTGTCGCGTTGCTGCTGCTTCCTTCTAGCTCTGTCTTCTAGCTCTGTTGATTTTAATCTTCTCCAGAGCCCCTTTTATAAGGGCATTAATCCCATTTACGAGGGCTCCACCCTCATGACCGATTCACCTTCCACAGGCCCCACTGCCGGAACCCGGTCCACCGCTGAGGGAAGAAACATCTGTTTCAAGGGACCTGGCGTATATGGCATACTGTTCTTAATATGTTTGCTCCCCTTCTTAGCGATATGTGTTATATCCAAGGCCACCTCCCCGAGAAAGGTTGTTTCCCCAGGTGGGGATTTTTCCCTGAAGTTAGGGATTAACAGGACTAAGGAAGGGAATAAAATCAGTAAAACCCCTTAACTAAGTGCCAGGCGGGTAGTTAATCACCTTAACTACGAACAATCACGCTTAAGCTACATAATCTTTACTTAGGACAGTGATGGCGAACCTTTTGAGCTCGGCTTGTCAGCATTTTGAAAAACCCTAACACTCTGGTGCTGTGTCACATATAGAAATTTTTTGATATTTGCAACCATAGTAAAACAAAGACTTATATTTTTGATATTTATTTTATATATTTAAATGCCATTTAACAAAGAAAAATCAACCAAAAAAATGAGTTCTCGTGTCACCTCTGACAAGCATGTCATAGGTTCGCCATCACTGACTTAGGATAATCTCCTTCAGTTACTTCCTTATACCTTAACAGAACAATAGAGTAGTGACCTTGGAATGGAGATAACAAACCCCTAACCTTTGGAATAGAATGGATAGGATTAAAATCAAATGGTAAAAATACAGATGTAACAGGAGAATAAAGAGAGAACCTGGCTATGCTGATCAACTGAACGCTGTCTCCGTGTCCTTCATTCTTCGCCAACTCCGTCCACACTTTGGGAACCCCTGGACCTGCTGGGGCTGGACCCCAACACCCCACCTCCTAATACCACCACACTGCGGGTTAGGATTTCAACATATAAATTTTATGGGCACACAAACTATTCCGTGTTATAGAGCACTTACTTTTCCATGGTGTGAACACAGCACAATTTATTTAAATAAGCCTGTATTGATCTAGACCAGTGGCCCTCAACCTTGGCTGCACATTAGAATCACCTGGGAATCTTTTTAAAATCCTGATTTCTGGGCCTCATCCTCCAGAAATTCTGTTTCTTTGTTATGGGGTGAGGCCACAACATTAGTAACAAAGAAACAATTTCCGGAGGATGAGGCCCAGAAATCAGGATTTTAAAAAGATTCCCAGGTGATTCTAATGTGCAGCCAAGGTTGAGAACCACTGATCTAGACTTTCTTGTACTACAGTGGGGCCTTGACTTAGGAGTGTCCCAACTAACGAGTTTTTCGAGATACGAGCTGTCTCTCGGCCGATTTTTTGCTTTGAGTTGCGAGCTAAAATTTGGGTTACAAGCCAGCTTCAGATACCCCATCGCTAGTTGGCGCAGCGAACGTCACAGTGAACGCCACAACATCAGCCCAGCATCACGTGTCTCACTCGTTCACTGTTGATTTGACATACGAGTAATTTGAGTTATGAGCTCCATCACGGAACCAATTAAACTCATAAGTCAAGGCCCCACTGTATTTTAAAAATAAATTTACAGTGAGCATTCTTGTAACTAAATCTTTGCACCCAATCTTTAACCTTCCTAAAAGTAGAATTGCTAAATTGCACAGTATGCAGTTTTTAAAGACATTTGTATCTATGTGGTTTTTTAAAGAGAAAGTAATGTGCATCCTGCAATAATCAGGCTTAAATGCTAAGTAACTCGTATCCTTTTATTATTTTTACATCCACGTGTCTACATATGTATATGCACGCACAAATATATCTCTGATACTTTGGAGATTGCTGATTTCATCAAGGAAGATTAAAGAAATGATTTCGAGTTCTTCAAGAAGCAGAATCTTTATTTGCACAAATGTGTTTAAAAGGCCAACAAAATGCTTGGCACAAAGAGACCCCAATGAACATTTAATGAATATGTGAATGATGATCTCACAGTGTCTCATATTTGCCTAAAAATAATCCATTTCCCTTTTCTGCTCCTGGGGAAAGAATAAAGGTTTGAGTCCTGGCAGAGCAGATTTTTTTTAACTTTAACAAAACACGCTTGCTTTTTAGATCAGATGGCTTACAGTTATTATTAGCAATAGGCCTAAAAATACTGATGCAATAGAAGTGTCATTTTCATATGTAATTTACAGAGCATATAAAACATCACTAATCAACTACCTAATTGCTACTCCAAAGTCAGCTTTCAAGTAAAGAGAGAAAAAAAGGTCACTATAAATTACTTTTATTCTGGCTATAGAAAGACTTTTTAGAAGTTCTAAATTATAGGTTCTTTGCAAATATTCTTACTTGATTATTTGGTTTATATAACAGCAAAGGGATGGAGAAAATTTCCATGAGTTGGCAAGTAAATAATTACCTGCCATATCTTCAAGTTCTACAATGAATTTTTAGATTTTTATTGCATTTGCAGATATAGCACCAGAGAATTTCCATTCTCTTTTCAATGTCTTTTGTTTTCTATTCCTCATAACTTATAAAATATTCAGCAGCTTGATTTGTATTAGTAGGAAAGAAATAATAAAAGTACAGTAACTTTTCAAATCATGACTAAATACATTCATTTGGTGTAAAATGGCATGACTTAAAATCATTTCTTTATTCATTGAGTGCTTACTATGTGCCAAGCACTATGCCAGATTCTGAAATAAAGAGCTCTAGATATAGTACAATTCAAGTTTGCTTACTCATGTCATTTCTAAATATTCAGTATCTTTTGTGAATTATTTCTTCTTTTTATTTCACCTCCCTTTCTTTATTATGTTTTTCATTGTTTTATTTGTGTATGTGTAGAAAATTTTCCTGTTTTACTTTCTTTTCTTTCCTTCTACCTTTTATTACCTACTAAGTTGACACTTGCATTTGTCTTTAATTATATTTTCTCACTTATTTTCCTGTGTGTTTTTTTCCTTTTCACTACTATATTGGTGACTTTGGAGAGGAAACTTAATTTGTAGAATATGTTTGTATGGACTTTAAATCTGCTTTTAGTTCTCTTAAAAGCAGCTATAGAAGAGTAATGGCCTCTAATTTATTTTTGGCTAGATATTTCATCAGTAAAAAAAAGTTTTGAATATTCCCCTTAATATGTGAATATAGATTTACTAATGAACTATTTACATGTACATATACATATATGACTAAAATAATTGTATAATATACAATTAAAAAACAAAACCCCAAATTTAAAATTAACAAAGACTAAGATAAAAATGCATAGGTTGAATTCTAACACTTTTTTCTGAATGCCAATGAATCATTTTGTGCACCCCTATGGAGGCCACTAGTTTGGGCTTGATAAAACTTGATAGTTTGGGCTTCTGGCATAGTAAGGAAGCCAATGAGTCTCTAATTTGCTCTAGTTTCTTTTAGAATATTCTTGGCGAAAGAGTAAAGAAAATTTCAAGATTCATATATGGAGCCCAGGACATTGAGGTCAAGACTCTCAAACCAAAAAAGATGACAAAAGCCTCTTCTACCTTCAGAAGAGGTGAGATGATCCTGACTGGGAACCATATGATGTGGGAGGCAGTAGAGAACTTGGCTTAAAAATGGAAGATTTTTTTTTAAGGATTGCAGGAAAACACTCTTTAATTTATTTACTTTAAAATCTTATCTTTATTGCTTTTTCTGTTGGAGAAGTATTATATGTACACTAGAAGCCCAGTGCACGAAATTTGTGCACTGGAGTGGGAGGTCCCTCAGCCTGGCCCGCGCCCTCTCGCAGTCCAGGACCCCTCGCTCCTTACCACCCGTCTGCTTGCTGATCCTTACTGCTCAGCTCGCTGCTCCTTAGCGCTGCTGCAGAGGCGGGAGAGACTCCCGCTACCTCTGCTGCATTTGCCAGCTGTGAGCTTGGCTTCTGGCTGAGCGGCGCTCTCCCTGTGGGAGTGTACTGACCACCAGGGGGAAGCTTCTGTGTTAAGTGTCTACCCCCTGTTGGTCAGTACATGCTCCTGCGTTGAGCATCTGCCCCCTGGTGGTCAGTGTGCGTCATAGCGACCAGTCGTTCTGGTTGTTCCGCTGTAACGGTTGCTTAGGCTTTCATTATATAGATTGTGAGAAACTAAAACATCATAGAACATACGCAATGAAGAAAGCAAAAGTCTCCTGTTTTGATTACCAGCAAAGAAAACTACTGTAATTTTGTGGTTTTTGGCTTCCAGATTATTTTAAATGCACTTATTAACACATGTTATCTTAACAAAAATGAAGCCATTCCCATTTATACAACTTACTAGAGGCCCGGTGCACAAAAATTTGTGCCCTCGGGGGAGGGGGGGGGTCCCTCAGCCCGGCCTGTGCCTTCTCGCAGTCTGGGACCCCTCAGGGGATGACCACCTGCTGGCTTAGGCCCGCTCCCCGGGGGATTGGGCCTAAGATGGCAATCAGACATCCCTCTGGCAGCCCGGCACCCATCAGGGGATGTCCACTTGCCAGTGGGAAGCAGGCCTAAACTGCAGTCGGACATCCTTAGCGCTGCTGAGGAGGCAGGAGAGGCTCCCACCACCACCACTGTACTGGCAGCCA